CGGCCGGGCCGCTGGGCCGCTTTATGTCAAGTGCTTATTGTTTCCCTGCATCCGATTGCCTTTCTGCAACAATGTCATTTGCATGAAAATTAATAACGGGCGACGCGACGAGGCTAGCGAGGCGCGGCGCCGCCGCCGCCATGGCCGCCGAGAGCCGAATTCAAATCGCTGTTTTCGAAAGTTGCCGCGCGCTCGAGTCGCGGAGTCGCGGCCGCGCGGCTCGGCTCGGCTCGGCTCAGCTCGGCTCGGCTCGGCTCGGCTCGGCTCGGCTCGGCTCGGTGGCGATGGAAGGGCCGCGATACGGCGTAGGTGCGAAGCGTTTTGCCGGCGATTGTCATCGCCGCGCCACGCTCTGCTTGCCGGCCAGCGCCGCGGGGCGGGGCGGGGCGGGGCGGGGCGGGGCGGGGCGGGGCGGGGCGGGGCGGGGCGGCCGGCCGACACAATGGGCCGCCACGTCTTGCAATACCACATTGATATCGTGTTTTAATTGCCGGTGGAGAGGGGAGGGGGAGGGGCAGCACGTCAAAAGTGGCGCCCGGCGAGGAGCCCGTGGCGGCGCTGCCGTGGCGCTGGCGATGCAATATTGCTGCCAGGCCCTGCGCGTGCGAGTGTGTGAGTGTCGCCGGCCCGGCCGACACGGAATTAAGTAATTTAGCGAGCCTTACAGCCACGGCCGTTAATACTGGATGTGGATCGACTGCCGTGGCGCCCCGCCCCGCCTTCTCACGCCCCTGTGGCCGGCAGACGTTGTCGCGGTCGGTGATCTATGGACAGTTTCCCTCGCAATGTCGCTCCGCGCGCTTGCGAGTGTGGCTCAGAGAGAGAGAGAGAGAGAGAGAGAGAGAGGCAGTGCATGTGTGTGCGAGTGTCGGTGAAATTTTGAGCCCGGCTGCCGCCAAGCCAGGCCGCCGAGCCAGGCCGCCGTCATGAAAGGTAGTTTCAGTCACAAAGGCGGCTCGCTGCGCGGGCTTGGCTGTCGCGGCGGCGCCCAAACAAACGATTATTTCTAGACCGTTTCCTTTATTGCTTCCGCGTTATTTGATGGCGGAAGTTTGAGTCGAAAATGCAACACACGAGCCGAGCGGCGCGAGAGCACGGCGTCGTGGCTGCGAAATCGCCTGGGAGTGTGGCGGCCTGGCCCGGCGGCGCCGCGCGGCGTGTGGGTGTGCTCGCGCGAGCCTCTTGCCGCCGGCCGGCCGGCTGGGGGACGATGGGCCGGTCGCCGACGCGAGGGCGAGGAGGGCGGACGCGGCGCTGCGGACCTAGGCCAGGACGGCCAGGACCTAGGCTGTCTCAATGGGTGGCGCGGCGGCCGGGCGGCCAAGGTCATGGAGCGCGGCGCCGCGGCCCCCGCCGCACGGCCCAGCAGTGGACGGCGGCACTGCACTTGCACTGGAATGCAGGCCACGCAGTGCAGGCCGACGCTCGCCTGGCATCCTGTCGGCCGATAGCACGGCGTGTCCGGGCCGGGCCGGGCTGGGCGTGGAAGTCGGAGTCGAAATCCGGGCAGTAATGCACCGACACCGTCGGCGACGGCATGCAGCGTGTAGCGCACACTGTGGGACTGCAGTCGTGGGCGTGCTGCTGCTGCTGGGAGTGTCTGGCCGAGCCGATCCATAATTCCAGAACTTAGGGCGTGAGCGCGAGCGCGCGTCGGGTCTCGGCTCGGCGGCAATGACAAAACTTGGTTCCAGTGTGCCGGGGCGGCCGGGGCACTGGCTCGGCGGGGCCGCGGTGCCTGGCCCGCCCGCCGGAGATTACTATCCATCGCTTGTTATTATTTATAATTCTGTCCTCTTTTTAACATATCTTAATACCCGGCGCGCTGTAAACCTTGAACCGGCGAGCGCGCTGCCGCCTCGCCGCGCTCGCTCGCCGCGCCAGAGCCGCGCCCGCCCTGGGAATAACTCTAATAACTATAATAATAAAAGTGAAGAGTCGTGGAATATAATAACCATAATCATAACAATAATCGTAACGGCGTAACGCTGTGTAGCGGCCGGGCCCGCTCTCGCCGTCTCCCTTTGCTTGGCGTCCTTTCATTTGGTCCTCGTCCCCGCCATCATCGCCGTCCTCCTTCTCGCCCTGCTTCGCCTGCTTCTCGCGCCACTCCGCCACTCCGCGCGTCTGCCGGCTGCCTGGTCCTGGTCTGCTCTCGCTCACACACACTCGCTCCTTTGTTTATCCTAGTGTTGACGCATGAGCGATCCTTCACTAACCAGACAGGCCAACTTTCTGCCGGGATGCCGGCTCTAGTTGCCACTTGCAAAAGGACGGCCTGCCTGCCAGTGTATTTGATCAGTTTTGCGAGGTCAAGTTATGAGGAGGGAGCACGCTGGAGTGTGGCGTTGCGCGTCCGCTAGCCGCGTCCCGCCGAGGGGCTCGAGCACTTCGAGTGTAGGGGAAGGGGGAGGGGAGGGGCACATCACTGCAGAACAGGCGCGACTCTGCTGCGGGCCGCCCCTCGCGCACACGCACAGAGAGAGAGAGAGAGAGAGAG